GGTATGCGTCACACTAGTTTTCGTGCAAACATCTCATGTGCAAACATCATGTACTTATCTTCTAACATGCCATGCCAGTCCGCAGTGGAAACCGCAGTGGGTCTAAAATCCCTGTTTGGGGATACTGCACTCCGGCTATAATTCTGGACTTGCGAGTGTTCTGCTGGCGTCTAGGTCCCCCACGGGTGTGCGAAGCGATCGATGCTGCTTCGTTGGGTGTCCGAGTCTAGGGGGATACCCGCCCGACCACGAGTGGCTGGAGGTAAGAGTGAGTGGTCGGGAGGCCGCCCCCCCCCTACCACACTCGATGTCTAGAGGTAAGAGATGGGAGGAAGGGGAAGTATGATGAGTGCTAGGTCCCCCGCGGGGATGATTTCGGCTGGCCTTTGCGCGTCGCGGCCTGGGCAAGAGTTGCTGCCCTTCTCCAGACAGGCGGCGCGATGCCGCGCTGGCGTGAGGGCGAAGAGATCAGCGCCCGCCGCGCCTCGCGGGGCGCGGTGCGCGGAACGAAACGACTTGGGTTCTCTCTCCTCCTCTTCCCCCTCCTCCTCCTCCTCCTCCTCCTCCTCCTCCTCCTCCCCCTCCTCCTCCTCCTCCTCCTCCATGAACGTAGAGTCGGACATCCAGGCGATTGGCAAGGGCTGGCAGTGGCCCGGAGAAAGTTTGATCACCATCCAGCAGTTATTCTCTAAACCAGATAAGATGGCAGAATGTTCAGAAGAGATAGCTCAATTCATGTCGACACCGTACCCAGGAGCAGGCCTAAGTGGACGATTGGATAGTGCGGTCACTCAAGGTCGCCAGGAGATCAATCATATACCACTCGACTTGCAACGCATTCAAACATTCCTGGATGAGATCGACGATGACGTAGAACTGGCAAAGAAAGGTCAGGAAAAAGATGCGAATGAGTCGTGGACAGAATGGTGCCGCATAGCTGCGAGTGGAGGCGCTCGGCCTCTACACCGTACTGCCAAAGTTCGAGCGGTCCCCGCACCAGCTGCTGCCATTGGTATACCATCTGGGGACCCCGTGGTGATAGTGAAGCAGGAGGTGGCCCTCTACAGAAAGCTGTGGGGTGCCAGCAGTGAGGCAGCGGCAGCGTGGATCCCAGACAGGAGCAGCTGCCCACGACTTGAACCAGATCAAATACGTCGGATCTCGAGGTCTTTTCCAGCTACGACTTCGGCAAATCTAGACAACTTCCACCCGAGGCACGCGGCGATGCTGGACGACGAAGGATTAGAGGTGCTAGCTTCCATGTGGGAAGCGGCAGAGGCCATATGGGGTCTTGCCGAAGCAGCTGTGCTGGATACAGATGCCGTTGTTGGGCAAGCCAAGTGGAGGCAACCGCCTGATCATTCTGTATGCGGGTATGTACAGGATTTGGCAGAGGGCTCGGCGCGCCATTGTTCAGAGTATGCATGACACGCTGGAGCGGGGATACTGGGGCGCATGCGAAGGACGATCGGCAATTGACTGCGCATGGGCTCAAGCAGCGCGTTCAGAATCTGATCAGATGACGCACAGATATGGCATTGTTTTCGTTGCTGATTGGTCCAAGTACTACGAGACCATCCCTCTGGAAGTTCTGAAGATGAAGTTTCTTCGTCATGGAGCGCCCACGTGCTGGCTCAAACTGGTATTCAATATGTGGATGAGCCCCAGAGTTATCATACTCGGCCGACATCACTAAAGTGAAGTGCTCTGTGCTCGGCTTGTATTGCCGGCAGGTGACGCTTACGCTGACTTAGCCGTCAAAGTCAACACCGTGGACGCGTTTGACATGATGATAACGAAATCGCCGACGATAGACTTCCAGAACTACATTGACGATTCAGGCATTCACAATTCTTCTTCTGATTACGACATAGCGAAAGGCACGGCTGTGGAGGGTAGCCAGAATTTCTTCGAGGCTAGCAGGCAGATCAACGCCACCCTGAACGATGAGAAGCTCGCGATCATCTCGACGCACCAGGCATTGGCTGCAGCCGTGTGTGGCGAGCTTGAGCTCCCGAGGTCGGTGATCAAGCCCAGTGTGTCCTACCTGGGCGTGGACGAGTCTGCTGGCGCAGCTTGGCGACGACAATGAGTGCGACTGAAGCAGCAGTCGAGGTTTGTTGCGATGAGAAAAAGGATCCGAAAGGTGCGAGCCATGAGGAAAGGGTTCAAAGGCCCCAAGGAGATCCCTTTCAGGAAGGTAAATCGCCAGGGTGTGGCCCCTGCGAGCAGCTTTGGAGTTGAGATCCAGAGGCTTTCTGATTCTGAGTGGCTAGCGCACCAGCGGTTGATGAGTAGCTCAGATGCTCCCTCGCACGGCGGAGTGTCACTTTCAGCTAAGGTAGTTGTAAACGGTGATAGTAGCACGAGATTTGCTGTGGCGCCCGCAATCCAATGGTGCAGGATGGTGTGGTCAGCTGCGACTCGCCCAGAGCACGACCTTGTAAGGATGGCTGAGCTCGTCTACCTCTGGGAATTATGTCAGGCCTCCAGCTGTAAAGCTTGGCAAGAGTCCAGGGGTCCGATGTCTCGTGCTTGTTTGAGTTTGGCCCGTGCGGGCTGGAAGTACCGTGGCCCCTTAAAATGGGTGGACCACAACGGCCATGACGTTGATTTTACGCAGACCCCGCCGTCGCTTTTTAAAGATATGCTTGAGCTAGGAGTTCAAAGGCAGCGCGAGTTTCGGTTGGCCCGAAAGCTCGGCTTCAACCCTGGGACGCGAGCCACGCTGGACTTAGTGAGAAAAGCTGTGTCTCCGAAAGCCAAGCGCCTGAGTAGGTATCAGAAGTATATAGTAAAGAGCTGTGGATGCCTAGGATTGTGGACCAAAGATCGCGCTGAGAGGGCGGGGTGCCTGTGTGACGGGCTGTGCGAGTGTGGCGAAAGGGACGCAATCCACCGCAGGCTCTACTGCTGTCAGTTACCCAATGTTTTAGAGGCCCGTCAGGCCGCCGAGGTCTCTCCCGAGTTTTTGGCTGCGGCCCGAGCGGAGCCCGAAAATCTGATTTTCACCACTGGCATTTTCACATATCAGGACAGCGCGCTGCCGTGCCCGTTGGTTTCGCACGAGGTTGACGTCTTGGATCAGCACGGCAACGCACTTGATTTAACCCCAGAGCAGATCGCCAATCTCACAACGAATGTGCCGCTCCGACTGGCCTCGGATGGATCAGGAAGCAAACCGTTGTTGAGACCGCTGGCGAGAGCTGCCTGGTCCATCGGAGTCCTCCCCGACATCGGGTAAGATCCAGTAGCGTTTCTGCGCGGAGTTGTGCCTGGCATGCCCCCGCAGACTCCCGCCATGGCCGAACGCGTAGGCATTGCGCTGCGCGGCCAAGTGGCCAGCAGGCCCGCCGAGTTAGGATCAGATTGCAAGGCCGCCATCCGTGTCACCCAGCAAGACATGTCGAGGCAGCTAGCGGCAGGTAGCAAATTTGCTGGCATCAGACTTTTTGCGCAGGGATTGGAGGGAACGCCTTTGATTCATACAGTGCGTCACGTGAAGGCGCACAGGTCCGAAGAAGAAATGGCGCTGCTCGAAGGCGAGGAGAGACTCTTTGCCGTGGCCAACGCAGCTGTCGACAGGCAGGCTAAAGCAGCGTTGTCCCTCCACCCTGCGCCAGACGCGGATTCCCTCTCAGATGTGAATCTTGCAGCCACCCGTGCGCAGAGCTTCATGAAATTAGCCGCCGAAGTCCTCCCACTATTCCCCAATGAGGTTAGGTGGAAAAGACCGGTGCGGATCAGATCAGGCCGCTCAAAGCGGACTGTCTTTTGGCACTGCTGGAAGCATAGTGAATTAGGTTTGCAGTGCACCAGATGTCTGCTGGTGGCAGAAGGATCGCCAGACGGAGTCCCAATGAGTGGCTGCAAAGGCGTTCCCAGTCACGTCAGCCGGCTGCTCTCGAATCCCCAGGGACATTCCCTCATCGCTACTGCTGGTTTGGCTCGGGAAACTGGCGACGGCGCCTCGGTGTGTCAGGTTCGAGAGCAAGCCATAGTTTGTTTGAAGTGTGGAGGGTGGTCTCAAGCAAAGCTTGAGAAATTAGGCCGTCCCTGTGTTGCCCCCACTCGTAAAGGTTTAGAGGTGATCTCCATGGTGAGGCAAGGGCGGTGCCCGAATCGTCGCGTTTTGGCCTTGCTGGACAAGGCTCTCCCTGTTTCTCGGCTGCGCCGCGACCCGCCCGAGCCCCATGACACCTCTGACACGAATGTCCGTACGAGTTTTTCGGCCACAGAGACGGCCGCCTCCTATGAGCAAAGAATGAACGCTTTGGCCGAGCGAATTCGAGTGAAGGAGAGCACCCGGGATGCTCGGTCCAGGGGATAGTTTCGGGAGTTTTCAGAGGGTTACCCTCTTGTTAATTCCCCATCCCCGATTCGTATCCCAGCTATATTAAGCTGAGATTATTTAGTGCGGTGCGCTCCCCCTTTAGGGCATTCCATTCCATTCCATTCCTCCTCCTCCTCCTCCTCCTCCTCCTCCTCCTCCTCCTCCTCCTCCTCCTCCCTCCTCCTCCTCCTCCTCCTCCTCCTCCTCCTCCCCCCTCTTCTTTTTTTTCCTCTTCCTCCTCCTCCCCTCCTCCTCCTCCTCCTCCTCCTCCTCCTCTCCTCTCGCCTCCTCATCCTCGTCCTCGTCCTCCCGCCCCCCCCCCTCCTCCTCCTCCTCCTCCTCCTCCTCCTCCTCCTCCTCCTCCTCCTCCTCCTCCTCCTCCTCCTCCTCCTCCTCTCCCCTCCTCCTCCTCTCCTCCTCCTCCTCCTCCTCCTCCTCTCCCTCCTCCTCCTCCTCCTCCTCCTCCTCCTCCTCCTCCTCCTCCTCCTCCTCCTCCTCGTCCTCCTCATCCTCGTCCTCCCGCCCCACCCCCTCCTCCTCCCCCTCCTCCCCCTCCTCCTCCTCCTCCTCCTCCTCCTCCTCCTCCTCCTCCTCCTCCTCCTCCTCCTGCAATCTTGGTATCCATCCTTCCTGGCTCTGCTCTCGGCCCCCCTTGCGAGCGGCCCAGGAGCAGGGCGGCATGGGTGCGCGTTGCCAGCTGGACGAGAGCTGGCCAACGTCGCTGCAGGCGAGGTTTGGAGGCGACGTCGACTCCGGGTTCCTCGGCCCCGCTGCGTCGACGGTTGCCATGGTGTCCCGTGTTTCGACGGGGATGTTTATGAGGGGTGCGAGCGCGGCCAGCGCCAGCGCGTTCTCCAGCCACGGGACGGGCAGGCCTTGGTTCCTGATCGACCCGACGTGTGCATGTTTTTCTGCATACGCTATCGTAGGTTTTCTATTCTTGGCCCTCGACATCATCTTCGTTCCATGGATGTTAGGCTGGGATGTTGCGACGGAAGGAATGCTCTATCACATAACCTGGGTTACAGCTCTATATTGGTCCGTCGATATCGCCATTAATTTTTGCACGTCCTTTCACCACAACGGTGAAGAAGTCATTGACCTGCGCGTTATAGGGATGAGGTATCAGGCAGCCTGCGGAAAGCCTCAACACGTGCCAGCGCTGCATCGACGGGTACGCAAAATGGTACCGTGGAGCTCTTACCAATAGGCTCGATAGAACCACTGCTCTGTTTTGGGGGTCCGCCTTTGACGCGATGCGCTTGCCGGTCTCTTCCGAACATCTAGGGGGCTGCGACGTGGCAGCGTGGCGTGGCCGCAGCGCTGCATTGGTTGTTGCGTTACCTCTTGGGGGCGTGCTTGGAGGCGCATCTTCTTGAGCGCCCCCGGGGGGAGGGGGGGGGCAGGCACCGCCGCCCCGCCTTCTTTGGGCATGGTCGCTCCTGTCAGGGGGTGCAAGGCTCGTGCAGGGGTGGAAGCCGAGGAGGGCACGGAGGGCAACGCAGAGGAGGCGCAGGAGGCCGGCGTGGGCGAAGTGCTGGGATGACGGAGGGGTCCCGGGAGAGGCAGGAGAAGGCAGGGGTGGGAATCGAGGCAGGGGCCTTGCTTTGAGGCTGATTGCGAAGGCCTTGCGGCCAGTGCCGCCGACCCTGAAGGGGGACGACGACGACGACGACGACGACGAGGACGACGACGACGACGCCGCCGACGAGGACGCCGACGACGCCGACGAGGACGCCGACGGCGACAATGACGACGACGACACCTACGCCGACGCCGACGCCAGCGCCGACGCCAGCGCCGGCGCCGACGACGACGACGACGACGACGACGACGACGCCGCCGACGCCGACGCCGACGCTGACGCCGACGCCGATGCCGACGCCGACGACGACGCCGACGCCGACGCCGACGACGACGACGCCGACGCCGACGCCGACGCCGACGCCGACACCGACGGTGACGCGCCGACGACGACGACGACGACGCTCGCAAGCCATCGTCGGAACCCTTGTTGGCCCTGTGGACCTCTCTTGGGGGGCTTTTTTAGGTAGTCTAGGGGCATTCTTGGGCCGTCTTGGGGCCCTCTTTGTCCGTTTCGGGGCCGTCTGGAGCGCTCCTTGGGCCGTCCTGGGGCGATATGGGGGGGCCTCCTTGGGCCGTCTTGTGGCTTGGATTCCTTCTGGGCTCTCGTAAACCTTCTTGGTCCGTCGTGTGGCTCTCTCGGGGATGACTTTGGCCATTTTCCAGCGATTATAGGGGCATTTGGGGCCCTCTTGGAGCGTGACAAGCTTGAAAGGCTAGAACTGGAAACAATCGGTGATATTGACCCCTCAGGGCTTTCTTGGGGGTGCTCGTGGGGCTGTTTTGTGGCGTCTTGGGCAGCTCTGGGGCATTATTTGAGGATCTTGGGTGCCTCTCAGGATCTTAGGACCTTCTGGCTGCCGCGGGGCAGAGGGCTTCAAATGTCGGTTGGTGTTCCCTCTCTCTTGCGGCTCTTTGGGGTTCTCTTGGGTCGTCTTGTTCTGCCGGGGGGGGGGTCACAACCCTGGGACACTCCCAGGACCACCCCCAGGGACCCCCCCCCCCAGGGACCCCCCCCCAAGGACCCTCCAGCGGACCACCCCCCCGCGGCGGGGACTTAAGGTGTTTCCCTTCGGCTCAATTTCGACGTTGTTCGATTTCCGCCTGGCTGGATCGCCTGAGGAGGAGGGTTCAGGGAAAGGGGAGAGTGTCGACGACGACGACGACGACGACGACGATGAGGACGACGACGACGACGACGACGACGACGACGACGACGACGACGACGACTAAAGACGGAAAAGGTCGATGCCGACGTTCGATTACTTTCTGGCAGGATCGCTTGAGGAGGGGGGGGGGCTCAGGGAACAGGTGAGAGTCTCGATGGCGACGGTGACGACGTCGACTCAAGCGGAAAAGGGGAGCGGCGACGGTGACGACGGCGGCGACGACGACAACTCAAACGGAAAAGCGTCTTACACACGCCGACAAGGTTGGCGGATTTTATCGCATCGTTCGCTCCTCCAGCCCACATTGTATTATTAGTGGCATTTGATTACGTTGGGAAGTGCCATGGGTGAGACGGTATGGCCAAGAGGGGTCGTACAAGTGAATGCGTCGTTCCGCGTGCATTGAAGGATTACGAAGGAGCTGAATCTCCTGTGGGCATTTGGAGGGATGTCATGGACCATCCTGGGGGTTCCTTGGGTATCTAGTGGGGCCTGTTGGGGCTAACTTGGGGGAATCTTGGGGCCTGGCACCACTAGATCCCACGCCTTGTGCACTTCTGGGGCTCTATGGCAAGCTCTCTAGGGCCTCTCCAGGGGCGCCCTTGAGAGTATCCCAAACAGTGGGCCCCATCTACGGCCCCGGTGGGCCACTTCGCATGGCGGCGCCGCGCCCACTGCGGCGCATCCCCCGTGCGGACCGTGTCACAAAAGGGGCCCCCAACTTCGGCGCCAGCATGCCAGTTCGCGTACTCGCATGGCGGCTCGGCGCCCATTTCGGCGCATCTCTCAAGTGGACCCTGCCCTACGAGGGGCCCCACCTGCGGCCCTGGTGGGCCAGTTCGCATGGCGGCGGCGCCCCCGTTTTGGCGCATCCCTCACGCGGATCGTGCTTCACCCACGCCACAGGTGGGCTCGCCCGTATGCCCTTCGCTCCATCGCGCGGCGCACAGTGCATGAGGAGCGTGCGCGCAGCTGCATCAGGTTTGACCCTTGGACAGGCTCTTGTCATCACTCGGACGTGTGCATTTCTTGTCAGCAAGGACCATCGAGGAGCATCCTAGATCACCTGGCAAACACACACACACACGCACGAAACCGAACACTGCGCAGGGAATTGACGTCCGAGCGATGGCAAGGGCTATCTCTTTGTTCCACACGTTACTTGCACTGCAGGTGTGCTTGGAACCACTGCCTCCCGTTGCAGCCACTTGCTTTGCTTCGCCCCTGTCCCCAGCTGTCCCCCCTGCCCTGAGGCTGCCCGCCGTCGCAGCCGGGGTGCTTGGCTGGGATCTGCCCCCGACCGTCCCTGACCTTCGGTGCTGCCCTGCTGTCCGTTGCTGCCACTCTCTGTGGCCGCCAGGGCTCGACCTAAATGGTGTTTTGGCGATTTCGTGGGCCGCTGTCGTGTTGACTTGGTTTTGCAGCGAAGGCGGAACGATGACAAAACGAGGGAGCACGAAATCAAAACGAACACGAAAAACATTGTTTTGGTCGAGCCCTGGTGGCCGCCGCTCTCCGTGGTCCAGCCTTGCCCCCACCCGTCCGCGGTCCTGCAGCGCTTCCTGCCGCCGATCAGCCTGCCAGCCTGGCCCTGTCCCCAGTCATGGTGCCCCCCCTCCCCGGGGTCGGCCAAGAGGGGGGTGAGGATCGATGGGGGAATCTGATTCTGGCCCGCATTTCGTGGCCCCCTTTTCTTATCAATCGCTTCGCTCAGTCATCGTTACCGCGTGCCCGTCTCGTCGTAGCGACTGGGGAGGTGTTCGTGTGCTCGTGGCCAACGCGAGATGTCTGGGACAATCGATGGCTTTTCAGGGCTCTCTTGGGACCAGAAAACTGGGTCGTGGACCAGATGCCTCTTTGGGAGGCTTCTCTTTGGGAGGCTTCTTGGGTTCTCTTCGGTTCTGTGGAGACCTCTCGGAGGCTCCTTGGCGGCAGCGGACCAGATGCCTCTTTTGGAGGCTTCTTGGGGTCTCTTCGGAGGCCTCTCGGGGGCTTCTTGGCGGCATGTTTGAGACGTCCTGGGGCCTCTTGGGGGCCTTCTTTGAAAGCCTTTTGGGCCTCCGTGGGCCTCTTGGGGATTCTTGTGGGCCTGCTGGCGGGTTCGGGCGCCATCTTTCGGGGCATGTGAATTTGGGTTTCCCTCATTGGGGCCTTCTTGGGGGCCTTCGTGGGGTCTCTGCAGCTCTCGTGGGAGGACACTCTTGGGCCGTCTTGGAGTCCTCTGAGGCCGTCCCGGGGCTGTCCTGGGAGCCTCTTGGGCTGACATGGGGCGTTCTTAGCGGCCCGTTGGCCCATCTTGGGCGGTCGGAATCCCGCAAGGGCTGTAGCGACAAAACCGTTCACGATCATCAAACAACCTACTCCGATGGAGACAGATGTTTGCCTCCTGGGGCCCTCTTCGGCCTCTGCGTCGGAGCCGTCCTGGGCGCCCCTCGGGCCGTCTTGAGGCCATCTTCGGCCGTCCTGGAGCGCTCCCGGCCCGAGGCCGTCGGGCCTGCCACCCGTCGGGCGCCTCCTCGGAGCGCTCCTGGGGGCCCACCTGGGGCCCCCCAGGGCCGCGCGCAGAAGGTCAAAAGGCGGCGAGCGAGGGGGGGGGGGGAAGCGAGAAGGAGCAGGCCTGCTCAGAGGGCGGCGCGGCTGCTCAGAGGCCCGCGCGCCTTCGGGAGTTCTCTGTGCCTTCGGGGAAAGCTCAGAAGACCTCTCAGAAGGCCAGGGGACTTCCGAGCCTTCTGGGAAGGCCCGCCACTTCTCACTTCCCCCCGCGCTCGCCGCCGAGTTCAGGCATCCGTGCCCCAGACCCTGCCAGGACATTTCCGGGGCCGCAGTGCTTGCGCGAGCCAGAAGTCTCACGAACTTCCCACAGGAGATCTCAGCATGCCTCTGGCCCATCGGGCCAGCGAATCTCACTGCGCCCCCTGGCGCCCCCCCCCCCCGCCCCTGTGCCGCGCACGAGTCTCGGGCCCACTCTTCCCGGACGCCCCCCTCCTGGACGACCTGGATCCGTTGCCGCCACGCGTCCTGGCCTGGCCCCGCCCCTGTCGCCGCCATGCTCGCCTCGGCCTGGCCTCGTCGCCGTCCGTCGCCGGCCTTCGTGCCGCCCCCCGGTGCCGCCACGCCCTCCCCGGCCTGTCCTGGCCTCCGACGGTCTCCCCGGCCTTGGCGTGGGGCCGTCTCCGTCCGTCTCCCCGCGCGTCGTGGCGGTCCTCGGGCGCGGCCACGGGGGGGGGGGGGGACTGATGGCCAGTAGTGGGGGAGGGCCGTCCCCGTCCGTCTCCCCGCGCGTCGTGGCGGTCCTCGGGCGCGGCCACGGTGGGGGGGGGGGACTGGTGGCCAGTAGTGGGGGATCTCATGGCCGGGGCCACGACGTCTCCCCAGATCGCATGGCCCCCTCTTGCTCTTGCGGTGCATCCGCTGGGCCTCCCTCTCGTGGCCGCACGCGCCTCGGTCCATGATTTGAGGCCCCCCTCGTGGACGCCCCCCCTCATTGGGCGATCCAGACTGCTTGGTCTGTCCATGTCCCCGACAGTCTCCAGCCTTGGCACGAGATGGCTCCCGTTTGTGTTCTGACGCACTGTAGCCATCAGGGTTGTCTTCCTGCGCAGTCAAGGCGCCGCAAGAAGACCCACCGTGGACTCAGGAGTGGCTCTGGCTTTCGGCCGTTCCTTGGGTCAAGGTCGGTGAGCCTACTCGTGGCCGAGGCTCGCTGTGGGCAGAAAGGCCCCTTCGTTCCCTGTTCAGCGTCCTTGTCCGTAGCACGATGATTGAATTTCTCTTCAGTGTCCACGCGTTGGTCTCATTTTCATGTGTTTTTAGCCTGCAGGGCCCTGCTGCAGGGCTGGTTGGGCCTCTTCAGGGCTTCGAGGCTTCGACCGCGTCTCGGAGATACTATTGGGACCTCCTAGGCTGGTCTCAGGGCCATCTTGAAGCGGACTTGGGGCCGAGAAGTGCACTTCGGGGGGAACATTGAAATTAGAGGATAATGTTCTGCCTGGTGGTGCTGGCTGTGGGGGGTGCTCCAGTGGCATCACGGAAGTTCAACCAGACAGCTGACAGGCATCCTAACATGCCTTGACGTAGCGTTGGCGCGGCAGCGGATTTGAGATCTTGGTTTGTCGCCGATGTGATCATCGTCACGTGTGACTGGGTAAGTCTATTCACAGCGAGCTCTGTACGCTGGAGAGTGCTGCGGTTTGCCAAAGCTGGAAGGCTTCTTCGCATATTCGCGATGTTAAGGATGATCAAGGTGTACCGATTCATGACCGAGTTTGTCGAGGAGACGCTGACGGGCTACGCGAGGCTATCCTTCCGCTTCGTGAAGCTGTTCTTTATCACGCTCTCTTTTGCCCACATGATCCGCGACGCCTGGCGGCCTGGACGTCCACCCCCCTCATCTGCCGAGCGGCGGCGCCAATCCCAACCTACCCTCGGGCCAGAGATTGTTGAGCTGTTGAGTTCTGTGGGTTTGGCCGAGGAGTTGCAGGGTAGGGATCTGTACTGATACCGACGCTCGTCCTGTTGAGGCCTCGTCGCCACGGCTGGATCCGCCTCGAACCTCTGGTTTTGGAACGCACCCCGGGAGAGATCCGGGGAGAAACGGTGTTTCAGGGTCCTCGTTAGGGGGGGGGGGCACGCTCAGGGGGAGAAGCATCAACCCCCGATCGCCAATTCATCGCCGATGGGGGCCTGATAGCCCATCCTGACCAGGGGCGTGCGGACTCGCTATTGGGGGGCATATCGTCGATCAATCGGCGATGCATCGCCCATTCCAGGTCGATGTTTCCCCTCTGAATCGGTTCCGCCCTGACGTTTCCCTTCATTCCATTGAGGCCTCCAGCAACATCTGGACCGGGGCCAGTGGAATCACCCATGCACGGATTCCCCAGGAAAGAGCGACATTGGGAGCATGGCGTCATCAGGCAAGCTGCCTGGAGGTGAGCAGTAGCTATCTTGAGCAGATCCCCCCCTGACGTGCCCCCTCTTCGTTTACCTACGGGGGCGCCCATGAGGGCTCAAGGCTCCAATCGTCGGGGAACACTCAGTACCATAAGCATAAACTTTCGGAGGTCTGGGCGGATTTCTTGGATCGGCGCTGGACCCCCTCCCTGGCGCGCGGAGCGCTCCAGGGGTGGCCAGAGGCGCCGCCAGGGGGCTCCAGCGCCGATCCGATCTGGTTGGCCCAAAGGGGGTCCAGCGAAAAGAGGGTGCTGCAATAGATTTGGTGCAATAGATCTGTGGGGTTGCAATAGATTCCGGGCGTGTGCAATACATTCCGGTGCGCCAATGTATTGTTGGATTTTCGAGTGCAATGCACTAGTTAGTCGCAATACAACGCAGCACAATTCTCCGGCGCAGTACATTGGCAACACAATTACCCCAAATCTATCGCACCACCCCCTTCTAGTTGGACCCCCTTGTGAGTCCACCAGGTCCGAGAAATCTGCGCGGACCTCCGACAATTCATTGCTTGTTCTGCGAACTCGAGCGAGCGCTGTGGGACGGACCTCACGCGTTCCGGCGCTCCCTCCTCGGGGGAGGTGGATCGCGTGCGTGTGGTTCTGGATCGGCCGCGCGGCGCCGTCGAACACGGGCGAGCGCTGGATCCACAGCTCAGATGCCGGGGACATCTCCGAAGAGGACTTCTTGTACCAGTACATCTCGGGGGCGCGCCGAGGGGGAAGGCAGAGCGGCAGGCTTCCTCAGAAGATTTCTAAGCCTTTTCCAAAGCCCCGCCGCCTTCGAAAAGGCCTGCCCCCTCTCACTTCCCCCTTCGGCACGCCGCCGAACGTCACCAGTTTCCATTGGAGCATCGCCCAGATTTGCTTGGGGGCCATGGAAGTGAACAGTTTCACCACCACGGAGCGGTTTTATAGCCTCATGTGCCTCATCTTGGGGCTTCTCTTCGGGAGCACTCTGGTCTCATCGCTGTCGACTGCGATGTTTCAAGTTCAGATGGACATGCGTGACAGCTACTTGAAGATGAAACTCGTTCATTGTTACTTGCGCGAGAAAGGGGTTGACCGCAACTTGGCGGTACAAGTTGAGAGGCAAGTCGCTGAGCGACTCCGACAGAAAGGCAAACTCACGGAGGACAAGGTCACCGCTCTTGATTGTATGTCCGCGTCTTTGCGATCAAAATTGCGACTCGATGTGTTTGGACGCTATTTGAAGCAACATCCTTTGTTTCGTTTGTTCATGAGCATCGAGGTGGAGCTGGTTGAAACTCTTTGCCGGACCTGTATGAAGTATACCCATCTAAGACGGCAAGATGACGTCTTCCATCCAGGTTACGAAGCGTCGCGTGCGTACTTCTTCGTCTCTGGCGCCATCGTGTACAGACAGGAGCCGGGGTCATCGCTTGCAGCTGGACACGGCACTCGGCGGATTCATCTTGATTCAAAGCTGCCCCCACAAGAAGATCTTCCAAGCGGCACCCTTGTGCGATCCCGATAAATTCAGAGCTCCTCTGGGGATGTTTTTTGTTGAGGGGGGCAGGGGGGCAGGGTTGATGAGTGTCAAGAGGAGTCTGTCTGTCGAGGCACAATCGAGAGCTACGTCCGAGAACAAAGCTGGATCTCTGAGGCGGCACTTTGGTGCCACTGGATTCACGTAGGGCATGCGCAAGCGTCCGACGCCACCGAGCTGGCAGAGCTTCACATCGAGCCCTTCATCGAGGCCGTGGACCAAGACTCAGCGGGCTCCGAGCTCGTCCGCGCCTACGGCGTTCAGTTCCACCGGCGCTTGCAGTCGGCAAAGCCCCCCACGGCAGACTGGCCAGACGACCTGCAGGTCCCGATGACAGACTGGTCCGACATCGTCTTCTCCATGGGCGAGTGGGCGCAGGCTCGGCAGCGCGCCCAGGGGGTAAAAGCCAGAGGGGGCGGTCCCCCTCGGGAGGCTCCGCTGGCCTTCAGATAGACTCCCTGAGCCTGCTCCGAAGCCGCGCGGAGCCCCGCCGCCCACCAGGAGCGCGCCCCCCCTCGCTTCCGGGCTCGGCGCGCCGCCGGCAGGTGATCATCGGGACGGACGCCGTCCGCCAGACGTTCCACTCGCGCCACCAGCATCTTCGCTCCAAGGCCTCCACGCTCAGCGCGCTCACCGCGGAGATCAGGGAGGGGAGGTCCCGCTGGGAGACCCGGGCTGCAGCTGTTGCATCCGCGCGCCCTGGGGGTCGGCGGAGGAGGAGGCGGAGGAGAGGAGGAGGAGGAGGAAGAGGAGGAGGAGGAGGAGGGCCATCTTTTCTCTACGGATTTCATGGCCCCTCCTTCTTTTCTCGATACGTCCCTTGGTTGCCCCCTCGTCCGCGTACGTTCCTCGGGTCATGATTCCATTTCCCCTCTCCGAAGTGAGGCCGCCGGTCGAATCTTTCCTCCACCATAGTCTCTCCCCTTCCACCTTGCCCTCCCCTTCTCCCTCCCTCCCCCTCCTCCGTCTCACTCCTGGAGGCGAGTGGCGCGGAGGGGTGGGGGGAATTCGGCATGTGGGCGCGATGGAGCGAGGGGGACGGGGGGCGGAGGTGGAGAGCGGACGCAGGGAGCGGACGGGTAGACTTGGGGAGTGGCGGGAGGTCTTCAGGGTCAACTTATGGGCTCAGGGGGGGAAGCATATCGACCCCCAATCACCCGCCGACGGGGGCCTGGACAGCCCACTGTGTCCAGGAGCGTGCGGTTTCACCATCGAGGGCCTAACGCCGATCTATTGGCGATGCATCGCCGACTCCAGGTCGATATTCCCCCTCCTGAGCCGTTCCTCCCTCTTGCGTTGCCTCTCATCTGCGGAGGCGCCGCTTCCGCCTCGGCCTTTCGCTCGGCTGCACTTGTCGTGGGCTCCCGCGGCCGTTCGGGACGATTTTGGATCGCCCTCGGCGAGGCGCGGCTGCTGAAGAGCACTCGGAGCCGAGAATACCGCCAGGAACCAGCAGCGAGAGCTTCCGAAAGCCAGCGAACAAATCTTCCTTTCGTTGCCCCTCAGGTCCACGGTGATGCTGAATGCTTCGGGCGAGATGGAGCGCATCGTGTCGCTGGCGGCCTTGGAGATCCACAACGACCGCCTGCAGCTGCTCGTGGAGCTCGGAGACCGGGCCCGCGGGAATCTGGTGGCCCCAAGAGCCGCGGCCCGGGCAGCGCAGGGAGCCGGGGAAAGGGGATGAGGCAGAGGGGGAGGGGGAGGGGGATGGGGAGGAGGAGGAGGACTGCTGCAGGCCCAAAAGGCAGAACAAAACCGTGGCGCTCAGCAAAGCGCGGGCCAACGTGCCCTGGCCAACGGCCAAAGTGGCCAACGGCCAACACCAAGGGCACACGCGCAAAAAGAGGGAATCACGGGCACAAGCTGGGACCTGACCTCCGGCCTCCTTTCCTTGACTAACTCCCAATAGCGCCAGAAACGCTGTGCCTTAGGGAGGAAACCAAGGAAAAGAAAGCAAAACCAAGGACCGCCCTACACCCCGCGCCAAAATGGCGCACGGGGGTTCGGGATCGGCACCCAAGGGACAATACACGGAGCGTTGCCCAGCGCCCGCACCCTCACAAGCACGGCAACAGTGTGCCCGCGGCAAAGAGCACTGCAACCAAGAGGTTACAGGCTGGAAGCCGCGGGCCCCGCCTCCGTGGTCGTCAAGCGGCGGTACACCTCAGACCAGGAGGTGCCACTGGGGTCTTCCCGCGCCCAGGCCGCACCCCTTGGCCGAGGTGGCAGGGCACTAAAAGCCCTGGCCTGACAGCTGCAACGGCAACAGCAACGGCAGCAGGGAGGGGGAGGGGAGGGGGCCACTCTCCGGCCCAGGAGCGCAAACAACGTCCACCCTGGAACCTAATCCAGGGCCGTGCCGCAACTCCCAACGAGGAAAAGGGCGACGGACACGACGAAACGAGACACGAAGGACGACAACGAACGACCACGAACCTCCCAGCGGGAAGTGCCGCCCTCCGCCCGATCCTTATCGCACCCGGAACGCGGGCGGGATAAGGAGCAGACATCATCGGACCCACACCGCATTCAGGCGGTGCCACACGGAGCCCAGGCTGCACCGCTTATCCGCGGTGGCGAGGCATTTGAAAATTGCCTCGGCCTGACGGCGAGGAGGAGGAGGAGCAGGAGGAGGAGGAGGAGGACGAGGGAGAGGGGGATTATGATGATGCTGCTGCTGATGATGATGATGCTGATGATAATGCTGATGCTGCTGATGATGCTGATGATGACGACGATGCACATGGTGATGACGATTCTGATGATGATGTTGTTGTTGCTGTTGATGATGCTGATGCCGATGATGAGGATGCTGATGCTGCTGGTCATGATGGTGCTGATGATGATGCTGATGATGCTGATGCTGATGCTACTGCTGATGATGATGCTGACGATGATGCTGATGATGATAATGATGATAATGATGCCGATGATAATGCCGATGCTGATGATGCTGATGACTATGATGATGGTGATGATGATGCTGATGATGATGGTGCTGATGCTGATGATGATTATGATGAGGACGAGGACGATGATGAGGGACGATGGCGATGATGATGGTGAGTGATGATGCTGCTGCTGATGATGAAGAGGAATCTGATGATGCTGATGATCATGATGATGACGAGGATGCTGATGCTGCTGATGCTGATGCTGATGCTGATGATGATGCTGATGTTGATGGTGAGGACGAGTATGCTGCTGATGCTGCTATTGCTGTTGCTGGTGATGATGCTGATGCTGATGCTGGTGATGATGCTGATACTGACCATTCTGATGCTGGTGATGATGATGCGTACGATAATAATAATGATGATGCTGATGATGATATGGGTGTTGAGGATGCTGATGACCATGATGATGTTGATGCTGATGCTGCTGATGATGCTGATGATGATGAGTATGAGGATGAGGATGCTGATGCTGATGCTGATGCTGATGCTGTTGCTGATGATGAGGATGACGATGATGCTGCTGCTGCTGCTGATGATGATGACAGTGAGTGCTGATGCTGATGTTGATGATGAGGAAAATGATGAGGATGATGATGACAATGCTGGTAATGCTGATGATGATGAGGGAGATGATGATGATGCTGATGATGATATTGATGATGATGCTGATGATGATGCTGATGATGATGCTTGTGTTGACAATGATGCTGATGACGATGAGGAGGAGGAGGAGGAGGAGGAGGAGGAGGAGGAGGAGGGGGAGGAGGAGGAGGAGGGTAAGCAGGAGCAGGAGCAATAGCAGGAGCAGGAGCAGGAGCAGGAGCAGGACGAAAGGGAGAAGGAGGAGGAGGGGGAGGAGGAGGAGGAGGAGGAGGAGGAGGAGGAGGAGGAGCAGGCGCAGGAGCAGGAGGAGGAGGAGGAACAGGACCAGGTGCAGAAGGAGGAGGGGGGGACGACCGTGATGATGATGATGTTGTTGTTGATGATGTTGATGATGATGATGATGATGATGATGATGATGATGATGATGTCGATGTGGATGTTGATGCTGATGATGATGATGATGCTGCTGCTGCTGATGATGATGATGATGAGGTTGTTGTTGTTGCTGCTGGTGAGTGTGATGCTGATGCTGATGCTGATGCTGTTGCTGATGATTATGATGATGATGGTTATGGTGCTGATGATGCTGATGCTGATGCTCCTGATGATGATTATGATGATGGCGATGACGACGATGATGCTGATGCTGATGATGCTGATTATGATGATGATTATGCTGCTGATGATGCTTATGATGTTGATGTTCATGATGATACTGATGATGCTGATGTTGATGATTATGATGCTCATGATGAGGATGCTGATGCTGAGACTTCTGATGCTGCTGCTGATGTTGATGCTGCTGCTGATGATGCTTCTGATGATGACGATGCTGATGTTGACGAGGGTGATGATGATGCTGATGATGATGATGATGAGGATAATGATGATGCTGATGCTGATGGTCATGATGGTGCTGATGCTGATGGTGCTGATGTTGATGCGGATGACGACGATGTTGGTGATGATGCTGCTGCTGATGATGATGATGATGCTTACGATGATAATGAGGAGGAGGAGGAGGAGGCGGGAGGATGAGGATGATGATGATGCTGATGACGATGATGATGGTGATGATGATGATGATGATGATGATGATGATGATGATGATGATGATGATGATGATGATGATGATGATGATGATGATGATGGTGATGGTGATGATGATGATGATGATGATGATGATGAGGATGATAATTAGGACTACACTTGGGGCGTTGGTTAAGGAATGTGCCCATGAGCCTTCAGACCCTGTACCGTTCCTTCGGGGATGAGGGCGGCGGTGATATCCATGGCCAGTCCACTATTGGAGTTACCCCAGCTTCCAGACCCTGGGTTCCTTATCCAGGTGTTCCTTATTCAATGCCATCACCGTATGCTGATGCTGATGCTGATGCTGCTGCTGCTGATGATGATGATGATGATGATGATGCTGATGCTGATGCTGATGTTGATGATGATGATGATGATGATGATGATGATGATGATGATGATGATGATGATGATGATGATGATGATGATGATGATGATGATGATGATGATGATGATGATGATGTTGATGTTGATGCTGAGGAGGAGGAGAAGGGGGAGGAGGAGGAAGAGGAGGAGGAGAAGGAGGAGGAGGTGGAGGAGGAGGCGGAAGGGGAGGAGGATGAGGAGGAGGAGGAGGAGGAGGTGGACAAGGAGGAGGAATAGGAGGAAGAGGAAGAGGTTATCCGCCGAAAGTTCCCCCGCGAGACCGAGAGGATTTTCCCATTAGAACTGATTGTAACTTCTTCGGGGCTCCCGAACAACCGCATGGCATGAAAGGCGGCCGAGGTCGTCTTCCTCGACCCCGGCGATGTCAGGGCTCCGGCGCTACGCTGTTCACACAATGCAGGTACAAACGCCCCAGTCTCATCTCTGATGGCGACAATCCCTCGGGGCGACCAGACGCTCCCGGGCCGGCGGAAGAACCCGACGAGGGAAAAGGGTAGTGTCATCGGAAGAAGGTGATCTAACTGCATCTGCGCCGCGGTCGTCGGCAACGCTGGTGCGGCTTAGCGGAGAGGGGCGTAATCGGGCCAGTGCCCTGGATGAGTCGCCGCCCCGAGACGAGGAGATCCCGTCGGGCTCGGATCGTGAATTCGGAGAAGGGTTTTATTCTATGCCCGACGCTGCGTTTACGTCGCGGACCCCCGCGGCAAAACAGCCCAGGGATGGCAGCGCCCTCGCGAGGCCCCCTCTGTGCGAGCGGACTAGAGCTAATTATAGACGCATGTGTTGAAGCTGATGGTTATCGGAAGCAATCGCGGAGGGCAGCGCCCCATGCTCAACGCCGCCGTCCCCCAATGGCCCAAGACCCAGATGCGCGGGAAGATTTGAGGCGAGGCCGACGGACCCGCGACACTGAGGACCCGCCCCCCAAGGGCAAGGCCCAGTGGTTCCGCGAGAGCGCTCTGGCAGGGAAAGGTGGGGGGGGGCGCGCGCCCAATCGCCAATTCATCGCCGATGCGACCCCGCAAGCCCGCCCGCCCAGGACCGTGCGGTTTCGCTAAAGGGGGTGTGTCGCCGATGTATCGGCGATGCATCGCCAATTCCAGGTCGATGTTTTCCCTTCCTTAATCGGTCCCCCCGTAACGTTTCCCCCTCATTCAATCAGTTGAGGCCTCCAACAGCATGTGGGCCGTTGCTTTTGGAAGTACCCATACACAGACTCCCCAGGAAAGAGCGATACTGGGAGCATGGAGCCATCAGGCAAGCTGCCCGGAGGCAAGCAGCAACGTGGCGAACTCGTTCGAGAAACAGTGGATCGTCTGCTGGACACCAAGCTGGCGCCCATCTGCCCCCAGCTGGAGGTGGGACACTTAAAGCGAGATCTTCAGTGGAAACCGTCGCAGGAGTACGGGGTCCGCACCAAGTACATCAGACACGTCGTCAGCCTGTCGTTCAGTGGGGAACTGGAAGCAGGCGGCGCGGTGAACGTGATCCGATGCGATCCGACGCGGAGAAACAGTTACTGCAGTGCCAACGCGGCCGAGTCTCCCCTGCCCAATATTTCGCCCACGACTAATCCAGCGGCACGTGCCCGGATAAGCAGCGCCTTGGCTCACAGTTTGCAGCAGCGCGACGTCTTTCACATCGTGGGCAAGCAGGGGAAGGCCGGCTTCTACGCGTGGTTGGCCAGCTCGGAGTTCGAGGCAATCAGCAGTCTTTCTGGCGAGCGCTTCCTCACCCAGTGGGTGTCGGCTCTGAATGCAGCCATGGGCGAAGTTTTGGCCAGAGACTCTCTGGTCGCCGGTGTGACAGGCCAGGCCGCACGAAATATCAACCAGCACCTTCCTGTCTCTCCCCTTTCCCCTCCTCCACTTGCTCCCCCCCTCCTCCCCGTACGGGAGAGAGGTTCGGGTCCTGCTGTCCTCCGTCTTCGGAGGCACATGCGAGACGCTGGAGGCAGCGCCCTCGTGTCCCACCACGACGAGCCCGCACTTCTCCTTCTCCCAGCTGGCTGCGTCGCAGTCGCTGTGACGGACGCGGCGCGCGGGGCTGCTGGGGCGTCGCCTCTTGCGCGGCCTGAGGCTTCTGGCTGCTTCGCGTGCGGCGCGCCGCGCACCTCTCGGCTGCGCGCCCCGGGGGGGAGAAGTCGGTCAATTCCACCGGCGCCTGGGGCCGCAGAGGGGGCGGGCCTCCTCGGGAGGCTCACAGGGCCTCTCGTGCCTTCTGAGGAACCCCGCCGCCCTCCGAGAAGGCCCGCCCCTCCGGGGCTTCCCGCCGCCGAGCTCGGTCTTCGGGCAGCTCGGGTCTCTGGCGGCCGTTCCGAACGATCCGGGCACCGCCGGGAACGCCCTCTCGGCCAGGCGCAGCTGCTGGAATCGAAGAAGGAGAAACGCCATAAACGTAAACTTGTGGCGCTCCGCGCGGATTTTTTGGATCTGCGCTGAACCCCACGTCGGCGCGTCCGGCGCCGCCCTTGGCGCGCTCCGCGCGCCAGGGAAGGGGTGCCCACCAGCGCAGTTCCAAGAAATCCGCGCGGAGCGTCAAAAGTTTACGTTTACTGCATTTCCTTGTTCTACTCTCGGCCAGGCGCAGCTGCTGGCACGCTCCCCGAAGCTGGACAGAGTCCTCCAGGAGCCTACGACACGCCAGAGGATGTCCGAGACCTCCGCCCCGCCGCGCGCCGCCCATTTCTCAGGGGCAACGCTAGGGGGGGGGATAGGCATAGGGGGGGATGCATCGACCCCCAATCGCCCGTTGATCGCCGACAGGTGTCCGACAGCCCCAAGCTCCCCAGGAACATGCGGATTCACTATCGGAGGCCTGTCGCCGATGTGTCGGCGATGTATCGCCGATTCCAGGTCGATGTTTCCCCCCCTGCCCCTGTCCCCCCCTTCTCGTTGCCCCTCAATTTCTCTGGCTGCCTCGCCCCGATGCCGCGTACCCTCCCGGCGAGAAGCCGGGGGGGTGGCCCGCTGGCGTGGCGCGCGGCGGCTCGGGCTCTGCGCGGGCGCTCGTGCGGCAGCGTCGGGAGGGGCGTGTGGGGCTCCAGGGGGGGGGGGGCATCGACCCGCAACCGCCCGTGCCTCGGCCGCTCTGGGGCCTGACTCGGGCCTGAGTGGGAAAGGGGGGGGTGCGAAATGTGCCGCACGCAGCCGGTTTCGGCCCCGCCGCCGGGCCCATCCCTCGATACGTGGCCGGACCCACTCGTGGAGTCGGGCGTGTCCCTCTACAGGAGGAAAGTTCAAAAATAAGCAAACCAGTCAGGAGACGATGTTTTGACACTTCTTTTTTTACAAAAAAAAGAATTTTTAATTGTTCGCCCAAAGTCCCCCTGTAGGGGACGCCCGACTCAAGGCAACGTCGGGAGGGGTGTGTGGGGCTCCAGGGGGGGGGCATCGACCCCCAATCGCCCGTTCCTCGGCCGATCTGGGGCCTGACATCACCGGCTAACATAGGTCATGGTAATGAATGAGCGCGCATTCTTAAGAGAAAATATGGAAAACTACATTTTTACTAAAGCGAGAAACGGATGTGTTAAATTGCGCCGCCGAATCAAAACAAGACAAAACATCACTAGTAATCGCAAAAACCGTTTTCCTACATTCAGAACCGGATTTTCTAAATCCAGGGTCGTTGTTCTGAATCCCATATCCTATTATTACGATGACCTGTGTGACTTGATCATGATAGCCCACAGCACCCAGGAAGGTGACAGAGGCAGAGGTAGAAACGACAGGGACGGGTAGAGACGGAGATAGAAGCAACCGCATTTGGTACATTCCTTCCTGGTACAGTTGCTTTTTGGCGCAGTCACTTTCAAAATAATTGTTGCTGCTGTATCTTCGGTAAACTCACCTGGCAGTCACTGTTGCTGGAATCACTATGAGTAGGGTCACCCGTAACAGCCTGCACACTACAATCCGCTCATATGATTTTGTATTACAGCCATCTGTGGTACAGTCGCCTCTGGAGTTCCAATCTCTAGTCACACTTGGTGCATCCACTCTGCGCTAATCGCCCTCATCATTACCTCTCCTGTGGTACAGTCACGTCGCGGTGAGCTGCGGTACAGCCGCCTTAGATACACACGCGGAAGTATTGCTGGGTGCAGCCACATTTCGCAGACTTCGTGAAATCCCCGTTGCTGATCTCGAAACCGGGGGCGTCTTGCCTCCAGCAGAGGTGCGACCACAACGACCACGTGCCAGTCGCAGTGGCCCCACAGGGACCGTAGCTCCTGCTATGCCGACGGGTGCATCCAGACGGACGCCGCCGTAGTCAAATTATGCGTTGCCTCCTTCACGGTCTTCTGCTGTCCATCCTCCGAGGGAGGAGGCGCTTGGTGGGTCCTGGCCCAGGGGGGGCCCGCGGCGTCGTCGGAGAGGCTCACGGGGGCCCAGAGGGGGGGCTCGTTCGGGGCCCGGCGGTGGCGTTCGGTGGCCAGCGGCGGGCTTCCGCCCGTGCGACGGGTGTGCTGGGCCGGGGCAGCCAGCCCGTGCGTCTCGTCCCTGGCCCAAGGGGCCCGCGGCGCCGTTGGAGAGGCCCAGGGAAGGGGGGGGGCAGGGGAGCGCGTTCGGGGCCCGGCGGCGGCGTGCGTTTGCCAGCGGCGAGCTTCCGTCCTTGCGAAGGGCGTGCGAGGCCAGGGCAGCCCGCGCGTCTCGGCCGCGTAGGCGGCGACGATGGGCAGTTTTCGGCGCGTTCGCTCTGCCGGCGGTCCGCGAACGGGCGCAACCGCGTGCGCGACGCATCCCGCGTGCGCGAGCGCGCTCCCCTGGTTGCCCCAGCCCTTTTCGTCCGACGAAGGCATCTATACACCACCACCGTGCCAGGCCAGGGCCATCCTGGGCCCCAGGATGGTGTATAGACCCTCCCGGCTCGGCCAGGAGGGCGTATACGCCATCCCCGGGCCCAGGATGGCCCTGGCCCGGCACGGTGGCGGTGTATAGATGCCTTCTGCGTATCGTGGCCCCTCTACTTCGGGAGCCTTCCCGAGCAGCGCAGCCTGACCTCCACGGGAGCTCGCAGGCGGCGGTGGACGTCTGGGGTCCCGCGCGAGAGCTCCGTAGAAAACAATTCCCGTGCTTCGCCGGCGGCATCCATTCCCCAAACAGTGGGGGTCCCAGAGCGTTTGTCAAGAGCTAGGCCAGTGCGCCGCAAGTTCCAGCCACCACGACCCTTATATTCTCCCCGTGTGCACGGTGGTTTAAGCGTCGTCATCATGCCATGCCTAGCGCAGTCCCGGGAATCTTGGGTGCTGCGATTTGCTTGCCGCCTGTAGCCATTACTAGCTAGCCCTTTGCCCAGCGTCGCTAGCCCTGTGTGCCGCCAACTTCCAGTAGCCTTGGTCTGGTTCTGGTTGCCGCCAGTAGCCCTGTAGCCCTGAACACCCTCTGCCTAATCTTATTTGCCTTGGTTGCCGCCACTACCGCAGCCGCTTGCTACCACTAGTCCGTACTAGCCCATGCTAGCTCCACAAACCGTGATTGTCACCGGCGCCGGTTACTGACAGACATTTAGACCCGCCAACACACAAGTTGTGGCTCACATTCACATATAATCGGTGCAGTTCGCGTGTGTTTGTGATTCGTGTCCACGTGAGAAAGTGCTATATGTATTCTGTGCGTTCTCCACGAAATACATTCTCGGATTTGCTGTCGAAGGGGCTGCCTCGCATTCCCGTGCACGTTTTCACACCTGGGAGCGAACCTCAGGCAGGCCGTGCGTGATTGAGATCACCTTGTGCGGACCCGATGTTTCATAGCCAACAATCCCGGACCCTTGAATGTTGTACCTATATGTTTTATGTGATGCTCATGGGAAAATGTGTGCGGGGTGAGGGTGGGGCACTTTCAAGAGACTTTGTTATGTTCATGCCGCCATTTCCGTCAGAGTCCGTCGCAAGTTTTGGAGGCTCACGCGGGATCTCGGATGGGCCGTGTGGGTGTCCATAGTTCTTAGGTCCTGGAGGTTCCTCTGGCGTCCCGTGGGCGTTCCATTCCCGCGGGTGTCCTCAGGGGTCCTGGAGGCCGTCTGGGGGCTGCTGTGGTGGGGCCAGAGGTCGGTCTGAACCCGCTCCGAAGTTTCCTCGGGGGGCTTGGTGTGAGTTTCGGGCCGAAGGAAAGGGGGGGATAGGGAAAGGGGGGATTACGAAATCTACTGCATGCAGCTGGTTTCGGCCCCGCCGCCGGGCCCATTCCTCGATAAATGGGCACCTCCTGGCGCTGGGAGGCGCAGGGAAAATCAGCTACGTGAGCTGATTCTCAAACCCCCCTTCGCTATCCCCCCCTTTCGCCCAGCCCGAAATGTCTTCTGGGGAGAAGCCTTTTGCTGGGCCCGCTTCGAGACGGGAGGTCACATCGTAGGCCGTTGCCTCTGCTTTGCTGTGTGTGCCTGCCGTGCGGCTACAGTTAAGTTGGGCGTGTCCCTCTACACAGGGGGAATTTTCAAAAGTAGTACAAAAATTGCCTGGGGACGATTTTTGTTGACTATGTTTGCCCATTTTGGGGGTATTTGTTGAGTATGTTTTTGTTTTTCGCTCAAAAATTCCCCTGTAGGGGGACACACCCGACTTCAGGCTACAGTGGAAATCCATACCAAGAAACACCTTCCTCGCCTCTAGGGTGCCATGGGTTTCTTGGGTTTGGATTGGTTCGTTTTGGGAAGAGTGACGCTCCCACACCAAAAAAATGATGGACGACTTGGGGTTTCAGAGTTGGGTTTCTTGTGGAAGGTTTCTTGTGGTCGAGCTCCTACGGTACAGTAGCGAAACAATGCCAATGCAGATTGGTCACGCCTTCCAGCGCCAGCGCGCTTGCGTCTTTGTATTATAGTCTGTATGTTTATGCTGTCATCTTCTGCTGAGCAGGATCGACGGTGGTCTCTCTCATGATGCTCAGCCACTTGTGATTTGATAGTGTCACTCAACCTTCGTGTTTTAGATGTCGGTGGAACTGACCGGTGGCGTCGCCATGAGTCCGAATACCGACATTTTGCTGGCTCGCGTGGTGTTCGCCAACCTTCTATTCGGTCGT